AATTATGCCTAGGCTGATTTTAAATTGGACTAGGCATAATTCAAATCAGCATGTGCACGCATCTTGATTTGATTTATGCCTAGGCGAATTTAAAATTGGCCTGAATTTGAGTTACGCCTGTAACATATATATTCTTTTCTGTACTATACTTGACTTGATGTTTTTCTTCTTTCTATGCACACTATAGAGAGAGATTTAAAGCAAGAAATGAAGAAAAGAACAAATTTTATCGTTTAATCAAAAAGAAAAATTCCCTTCGCTATGAAATTAGTGTTTATTCTAGCAACTTCCAGATTAAATAGTAATAGTTAACAAATTCGAAGGTACCCTTCTCCAATTTTTCGGCCAGTTTGTAGTACACAACTTGTACCCTGTACCATACTACTTCTTAGAAAAAGTCTCGGTTAGTTTTCAAGATATAGACATCACAATATCACAGACTAAAGCTTGTAAAATGTAGATTTTACTTAAATTTCAGAAATTGCACGAATTTGGAATGACAAACATAACTTTCTTCATCACTTTTCGGACATCATAGTCAGAGAAGTCCAAGATCTAGATTTTCCAGTAAAATCACTACAATTAAATTGATACGGATCCATTTTACTAACTTTTATCTTTGATATTAGCAGCTATCTCTTAGAAACTAAAGGAACCTTTTTCTGGCGAATATGGCAAATATATTACAATTTGTGTACTTCAAATTAGTGTAAGAAGTGAAAAGGAGTCTTCTCTGATTATTTCAGTTTTAATTAGCGAAGTGAGGAGAATACAGAATTAACTTAGAGCTAGAACACATTCAATGGCTGAGTCTTTTCCTTACTTTTTTCGTTAAAGAAAAAACGTTTTGTGTGATCATACACGAAAAAGAATCCGAATTGAGAGTTGTATGATCGAAGAGAATAAAAAAACATGCCTATTTTTCTGTGAGAATTATTTATACTCAAATAGATAAAAATGTATACAGATGTAAAATATACAAATTACAAAATATTATATACGGAATATGTACACTGTGTAATTTGTTAGTTTCGAAGAAAATAAGCGAGGTATAAGATAAGTATAACTGGATTATGTTATCATGCAAAATTCAGACAAAATTTTTCCGAAATATATTAGTCTGTTATAAGTGATCACTTTTACGCCCAATTTGGATAAATAAAACTTTAAGAGGCTTACAATTCGGAACATTGATATATTATGGAGAGGTGTCCCCTCACCTCACTTCTTCAAAGACAACTAGCCTCTCTGTTTCAACAGGTTATTTCTTCATCAATCGATCAAAAACATACTTTTTTTGCAGTTCGAAGTTCGAGTTTATCGTTTGAAACATCGTTCAGCAGAAATATAACTATTGACAAGGCCACCTTCCCAAGTGCCGGATAAAATTTTAGATCGAAAGTCGTTAGTTCGATTTTTCTGAAAATACTTTGCAGGTTGGTATACTCTGGACTTTATTTTATGTTATCAACCGGTTGCACCTCTGCCTCTTGAAAACCATGTTCCACATAGTTTTTGGAAAAACGAGCTTAATGTTCTACGGCTAACGTTTTATGGCCTACATGATGCCAATATCGAAATCTTCGTGGCTGCGAGTTTTGTATAAAGTGGCCGGATCTGAGTGGAAGTACCCTAATACAAAAAAGTCTCTGCTCAGGTTCTTTCCGTTACGGTAACGTAACGTAGGAAGATTACACTAGAAAATGACTCGAGGTGACTTGAGTCAATTTTTTATGCGACTCAGACTCGAACCTGGACTCGAAGCCTGCTGACTCGGACTCGAAAAAGTGGTGACTCGCCCATCTCTGCCGTTACCGAGATGGGAGACACTGCTTCCTAAAAACTGATTCTTATTTATTGCTCCGAAAGCAAGATTGATCAGTCAGGCAGCTGTAACTTTATACTTAATTCCTCTGACACGTGTAATTTTATAAAAAAAAACGTCTTCCACGGGTGGAGAGTGCGCAAATTTTGGACTTTTCCTATTTCTGACCATGTCAGACTTCCGATTTTTTCATGATTTCTACCAATGCAAGCTAAGCTCGCACCTGGCAACATGTCCCTATACTGTACTCGAGCACTTATGCTTATTTTATTCATAAAGGTATGATTATAAGTAGCCGGTAGAAAAAATAGTTACTTATGGTTACTTTACAAATAGTGTCTCCTATCTCGGCAACGAAAAAGATCTGAGCAGAGATATTTTTTTATTAGTCATGTCCTTATGCTTATAAGTAACTTGGAAAGATTTTTCTTCAACTCGTCTGCAAAAAAAACTCAGATTAAGTAAAATTGTATTCTCAATCAAACGAGAAATAATTTCTCTGCAGTAAACTGCGCTCTCTTTCAAAAAGATTTGGCTACTGTTCCATTCTATGCTTGTGGAAAAGAGGAGTCACTTAAGCATTTTCTATTGGAATGTCCACGCTACCAGCCAGCATCAACGAAATATACTTCTTTTTAACTAGTTATCTCTAGCCTTAAACCTTCTCCTTTACATTTGTAAATCTACTCTTTGGAGCAAGTCGAAAATCTGGATCTGGATCTAAAATTTCTAAAATTACATTTTCTAGTTACCAACTACATCGAAAATTCTGCACGTTTTTAAAACTGAAGAATGTTCGTCCGCGTCTCCTTTTCCTCTACACATATCTACCGTTTTCTTTCAATTTCTTTTTTAATAGAGCAGATTGAAATAGTGCTTTCATTTCTTTCGCATCTACGATCGAAAGATGGGAAAGAAACGAAAGCACTATTTCAATCTGCCCTATTGTATTTTTATTCTTCTTCTCGTTACAGATATTTATTCATTTGTTTGTCGTGTTTCTGTGCCTGTTGTTGAATCAGACCTAATGTGTGTGCGTGCGTTTATCTCTAACGCTGTTGTACACTGTCAACTTTTTATTTTAATGGATAGGTAAAATGATGTCATAGTTTTTTTCCCTTTCTTTTTGTACTGTTCTTATATTATTTTAATGGAATACTTTTTCTCTGCCCCTGCAGTAAATAAAGCTTATAATAACATGGAAAGATCACATAGAAGAAAACAATAAGTAATGCCAAAAGATGATTGGTACAATCTCATAAGTATCTAGAACTGCAGCATTTTACCTGCGATTGCATCTACACAAGTTTTGAGTCATACTGGAAACAATTCAATGCCGTTTTTACAATTTGTCAGGGTTATGCCCTTTTATGTCTTAACAGAAAAGAAATCACAAATATCAGATTATATGTCATGTTGTTTTTGTGTAACAAAAGATGAATGAAAGAGAACGCCTGCGTTGTTTGCAGCGTTAACCCACGCTCATTTTCATGTAGCAAACACATAATATTTATCAAATGAGTCAGCAAATTTTCTTTCTTCCAGCAATACATTATGTACAATATATAAGAGGATTGAAAAGAGAATAGAAAAAACAAAATTTTCATCATTCTACCCAGGTACGCAGGCTATTTGCTACTTTGCGATATCATCTTAACATGTGCTCTCTTAGTAAATATATAAAGTGTTTGTTAATTGTAGATTGCTTGGATCGGTCGTCTCTATTTCAGGACGCGTTTAGAAAGATGAAAATAGATCCAACTAAAAGTCTCAATTCTTACTATTCCGTATATGGAAACTATCGTTCTGTCTACGATGATGTAATGTCGTGGTTTGGTGCCACACGGCTGGGTTGTGTCGCATTTCTTACTACAGCTATGCGTCATGTTGAAATAGAAATTCCACAAGAAGGTACTATAAATGGGAAAGGAATATCAATTAATACTGAAGGTTTCGAATCCTATTTGAAAAATGTTCTGAAATGGACAGTATATGTTGACGCTGCTGATCAGTTGCGGCCAGGTGATGTTGTTATTACTCAAGATCGAGAAGGGTATATTGGTCATCCTGATCATGTTTACATGTTTCATCAATGGCTAGATCAAAATGAAGGTATTGCACTTGTCATTGATAACCAATTGAACACTGAGAAAGATTTTATTCATCCACGAAATATTGTTGGAAATCATATAAATAATGTCAGAACATCTTATACGCCCTATGCGAGACACTATCGATGTCCATCTGCAGAATCTTCATAGTTCAGATTAACAGATCTTTGCACCTGTTATGAGTCTTGCACACTTTTTTCAACTTCATCTGTTATTATTGTTTAAAAATAAACGATTTACTGAAAAGGAATGTATACACTAACTCTAATTTTTATATAATTACCAGAACATCTTTTGTTTAAAAGCGCATCAAATATACTAATAGAATATGTCAGAATTATGAATCCAATTAACGTACAGATGAACGGAATGAGTTATCTACCTTGTACATTAGCCGTCTTAGAAGTGACAGTACTAAGTAAACTTTAATTCTCAGTATTACAGGTACTGCATGTATTTTTCACCGCAAAAAAATGGATATTTTTTATTTTTATTATTTTTATTTTATTTATTTTATTTTTTATCGATGTAAAAACTATCTCAAAGTTCATTAACGTTAATTAGAACTAATCAATTTCCAGCAAGCAGGTATCGATTGATCATAATTACCCCAAATGGAGTAAATATTATCAGTCAACGTATACCGTTGAGTAATTATGATCAACAAGCGAAAACAGCTGGAATGAACTTAAACAACTTCGTGTTAACGGGGAATTTTAAGTAAACTAATTAAAAATCAGTTCATTTGTAGAGGATTCTTTGCTCTATGTCTCACGTAAATTGCACATCATCCGGGCTTAACCTGAACCAACATGCAAGAAGATGTAATTATTGCCGATAATTTGTTGCGTAACAAAGATGAAAGAATTTTACATATCTCGGGACATTCATCAAGCTGAACACCACCTGATTAAAGCTCAAACTCAGCTAATGGCATTATTGAACTGTATGACGGATGTGGGTATTCACCCATTAGAATATCATAGCCCTGAAGAAAAACTGGACACAAGTTTAATATTTAATTCATGATACAAACTTTTACTATTTTCCACGAAATAATGAATAACTGTCAAATGTTGTAATTGAAAACTTAATTGATAAATTAGTATTTCGTACTATTTTCTTCTTTTTGTGTATTATGTACACATCCATATCTTGTAGACAGTTCATGAGTGCTTACAATAAATATACGAGGGAATCACACTTGGTGGTTGCTTTAAGTGCATAATATATCGCTGATAAATTCACTTGATCGACATACATCTGTGATAAAGATAGATATGTTTTAAATGACTTCCAGTTCGTCTACTTCTATTTTGAGGTATCTAATGGAAGGAAAATCTATTTCTACACAAGTTTGTTCCGCTTGTAGATCCAGCTACTTTGAACCATGTCCAAAAGTATATGCTGAAGATAAATTGTTATTATATGCAAATCGTTATTAGCTGAGAAGCTATAGTAGTTATAGTTTTCACAGCACGAGTGTAAAATCCTCACATCATAAGGTACTGCACGATCTTGTGCTCGCTATTGTAAATTTCGTTTCAGCTGAAAAATTTATGGTAGAAGTTGTAGAACTATAAAGAATATTTTGAAATGTCTAAAGTGTCTGAAGTGTGAGGAATGGAGGGTCTAGTATTTTCCAGCAGGCGCGAATAACACTTGAACAATCGAAAGTTTTAACATCAAAAATAGAATAAAGATGGAAGAAAGATAAATAAATAAATAAATAGACTAAAGTTGCGTTTTTATACAATTGTGAAAAGTAGAATTTTCTAATTTCTAACTAACTCAAGATATTCGAAAACTAATCAATGTCATTTGTTTTTCTCTACCGCTTTTAATACCGCTCAAAGACTTATCTTTGCAATCCCGATTTGAAGTACAGTAATTGATCTAGAAAAGAGAATATCTTCATCATATGGTAAATAGAAACGAATAAATGTCAACTGTCAAATTGGCTTTTTGTGAAGAGCAGTTTTATATCAATAGCTTTTAATGTTGTTCATGAGACCGAAGTCCGTAGTGATAGTTAGATCTTTTTCTTATGCAATAAGAGAAATCGCTCGTCAGATTAGAGACATATTACAAACTGTCAATTCAACAATTCGTAATACAGTTAAATTATAGAGCACGACACGTTAATTATGTTAAAGCTTTGAATCCGTAAACAAGTTTTCAAAGAGTTATCGATCAAGTAACATGAATCTATAACTTACCAGCAAGTTTACCAAACGTTTGCCTTATAACGAATATAGCCACCCACACACTTAAACTCCAGATAAATGTGCATTGCACTTCGAGTCTTTCTTTAGTCAATGATTGTAACCTTCATCCCTTTACTAAAACTATTATAAATGCTTGATGCTTGGTTATTTGGCTAAGTGCAACTAAAAATATTAACAAAATATTTTTCACTTAATTTTTAAATAACCCCGTCAGAATTAAAAAGAGTGATAGGAAAAATGCTAAAGCGGTAGCTCGGACTTCTACGCGGTTCAGGAAAATGAAATGATGAGAGTCGAGACGGGAGTCTTAGCACATGTTATAGACTAGATCATTCTTCTATGGAATTAAAAACTTTACGCATGGATGCTTTGCATATCAAATGGAAGAGCAATATATTCATCGAATAAAATATCAAATGAAGAGAGCAATAGGCTTTAATTGTGAGCTGGTCCTTTCGACGTTACTTTTTCAAGAAAGAAAGAGCATCGATTTTTCATGGTCGTAGTAATAATTTTCTGGTGATCTGTAACTTTTGTTATACGTAACGTAAACTTAAGTATGTCCAAGTTATACGGCACACATGTGTGTGATTGAAGATGTCTGTGTTGCTGTTCTCCTGTTTTTAAATGAAGCATAACATAAAACAGAATATCCGTTACCTACTAGAAGAAAGTGCTTTCAAAAAAATGCAGCTTTCGCTTCGAAGAACTATTCTCGAGGCAGTCAAAGGCTAATTTCACCATGTTTTACCCGGCTTTCTCTTCGGGAACATGATGTAATTTGTTGCAGATTCAGCTAGACTCTAAGCTCAAAATAAGTAGTTAATTTTTATAGATCTGTATATGCTTGTGTTTACGGATGAAGACGAAAAGTTTATTTTTAGATTAAATTAGTAACATCACAACAAAAAATTATTAATATAGTCCATAAAATTACTAGATTACAGCTAATCTAATGTTATTTATCCCATTGATTCTGTTGACGACGTGGTCTTTCGATGATATTTCGTACTACGTTGAAAGCATATAAGACCAAATATGACGATTGGTCCAGTAACTGCCCGCGGAGAAATTTTTTGGATACAACCGCAGTTTGTCACCGATTTGAATACATCGCAGGAGTCAAACCATTTATTAGGTTTTTACACACCGGCTGAAATCGCGGTTCTTCATACACCAGTTTCAAGCGGTCTATAAAAACCTAATAAACGGTCTGACTCCCGCGCTGCATTTAAACTGGATAAGCCGCGGGCTTTCCTTTAAGCGGTTTAATAAACCACAGATTTTATCGTTTAGATCTGTTCTAGAAACTCAGCGAGTCATATATAATTATAAGGCAACTGATTGGGATAATTATCGTTCGGAACTCTCAAATATAGATTGGTATTCATTAATCTACGGCAGCCCTTAATTAAGTGGTTTGAAAGCTACCTGAATGAAAGAGAAATTGTCACTATGGTAGATGGCCATTATTCGTCAGTACGTCGCATTGATAGAGGGGTCCCTCAAGGATCTGTCTTAGGTCCCTTACTTTTTCTAGTGTACATTGATGACTTATGTGATGGCCTAATAAGTGTCACCAAATTATTTGCTGATGGTGAATCACTGCATATAGCAGGCAATAATCTGCCTCAAATGGCTAATCACTTAAATGGGGATCTTGACAAAATGAATAAATGGTCTATTAGCTGGAAACTACCCTTGAACGCAGATAAATGCGTATCAATGTTATTCACATTAAAAAAATCTCCGCAAATGCTACCTACACTTCGAATTGGAGCAACAGTGTTCAGTTATGTTCAGTCATATAAACATCTATGGATAATATTAACACCTAAACTGGACTGGACTAAACATGTTGACTATCTACTGCAAAAGGTGATTAAATTAATTGGGTTATTAAAACTTTACAGTAGAATTCTATGTCGTCAGGCACTTGACGTGGTTTATAAGCCCTTCATCATGCCCTGTTTTAATTACGGTAGCATCATATATGGTAACACATCCGATTATAATATTGAGATAATTCAAAAGCTGCAGTATCATGCAGCGTTAGCAGTAACAGGAGCTATGAAAGGTAGTAGTAGTGAGAAGGTCTTGAAGGATATAGCTTGGGAGTCTATGAAGGAGTGCTTTCATCGAAGTAGAATTGTTACATATCGTACGATATTAGTGACTAAGTCACCTAATTATTTGTTTGACTTAATATCTTCTTCAACAAACACTTCAGTTCTTACTCATAATTATAATACTCGTAGTCAACAAAATGATCAGCACTGGCACCCATCTCCCAGAATAAACATATTTAGAGAATCATTTTTTTACCAAGCTCGTATTGATTGGCAAGAATTACCGTTTAGTACACGTAGTATAATGAAGTTGAATTCTTTTTAAAAAGAAAATTAAAGCATTGGTCAAGAAAAGATTTCCTGTTGTAAATAATCGCTTAGATGAAATACATTTTTGTCGATGTCGAGTTGATCGAACTCAACTGAGGCATGATTTGCACATTAGCAATCTCACTGCTGACCCGTACTGTATATGTGATGCGAATGAGACGCTTGAACACTTTTTCCCCCCTGGTCGTAACGTTCTTGCCTCCCTCAGTTGCGTCTTGACGCTGTTGACTATCGGACTTGGTGGTCGGAGTTGAATCCGATAATTTAAATAAGGCCTAAAATACAAAGAGCAAGTCTAGATTAGGGAACTCAATGATATCATGTTTCTCATCCCTTCTTAGTGGGAAAGTCACACTGAAGAATTTAAAAACTTCCAGCTGAAAAATTTCTTCATGGATCTAAGACTATTATTGAGTTCGTGTACTTTATTTCACTTACAAAAACAAAAAGGTTAATTTCCAACGGAAAAGAAGAACAGAAATAAACCAATAACACATAGAGACATACGTACAAAAATGCTTATGGAAGCCGGATCCTAAAATCAAAATTAAAGCATTTATTTTACTGTTTTTAATCCTTCAAGTCTCGGCGGTAAATATACTTACTAGAGTCCTGGGGTAACAAAAAATTCTATTATCTTACCGTCACCATTTCCATGGTAGTGGTATACCACTACCATGGAAAGTGTGGTTATTCTTATCGGGAAGGCTCTATTCGAGTTTGATGTATACATATGTTTCATTTGTATTATTTATTCACTTTCTTTTCTTTCAGGCGGACGGAACTGATTATATACAAATTCCTTTTCTTTCCAGTGTTCGTAATATAATATTACTGCCAGAAGTTCAGAACACTTTAGCCAATCCTCCAATGAATTCTAATGGTGTTGAAATATTAGATTATACGAATGCAAAATTTTACAAATCTCTTCCTGCTTGGAAAAAGGAAACATTATTTTTTGAGATGTCGTGTGATGACTTAACTTTAACGAACCAAGTTACAAACCGTAAACAGAATAATCGCAGTTGGCATCTCACTGGTTGTGTAGCATTATGTACATGATACACGACTGAGTAATGAAATTGTATATGTCTTGTAGTGATCATCTTTTCTAGTACGTAACTTTACTCCCTTCTCTTGTTACAGTGAGATAATTGAAAAATTATACAGCAGATATTTAAGAGTTCTTCACGATCAGAATTAGAACATTAATATTCAATGTATTTGGATTACGCATGGAACAGTTACAGTTTTTAACTGAAGAACTGTAACTGTGATCATCGCCCTAATGACGATAACAATGATGGAATTTCATGCGACTACAAAAATTTGGATCTCCTTGTTAAACTCCTGACAACTTTACGCTTGTTCACTTGAGTTCTTTTTCGCAGTGATTCTTACTATTTAAAAATAATGTCCGTTATTCCTTTTTACGTTCTATAAAATATTTGATTTATAGATTATGGATAAGTAGAACTAACTCTGTTTCTATCCTTAACAGGACAGAAAAATATTTATATTTGTCTTTTTATCATTAAAATGTCGATATAACTTTATTCTGCCATGCGACAATCACAATTCATATAGAGCAAGGCAAAAGTAAGTAAATACATAGCGTTCATCTTTTCAATGTATTGTATGTGTAGTTAAACACAAAACTTTTTATTTGAGAAATTGTTTATGTTACTACAACATACAATTCAATACCGACGCTCGTTCTTTTCTTACACCTACAATACATTCAAATCGTCTTAAGAGGGATTTTGACATTCCCAGTGGTTGAGAATAGAGTCGAATTTACTTGAAGTTCGATGACTGGTACTCGCGGCTATTGATAATCTCGGAAACAGATGGATTAAAACCCTCACCCATCCCCATAATAGAAGACCACCTGGTCTTCTATTTTGTCCGGCAAGTCGAGTTCTAAAGCGTGGTCTTCTGCTGCGGTCAAATTTTGTCGCCTGCTAGTAGTCCGGCGGTAACCCTGCACATACCTGAAGTCCATCTCCTATCAAAAGAACATTCCCATGCAGATGATAAAAGTCGTGCGAGGGGTGCGTACTCGAAAATAGGTCCTCTCCGAGGGCTCGAACCCTCGATATAAGCTTTTGAGGGGTATCGATTTCGAGCCCTTGGATTTCGATTAGGTAGCGAATCCACCAGAAAAATTTCGAGCCGTCGCACGGAGATTTTCAGGACTTCGGAGCCGTCGCCCCTCCGAGGGTGCGACGAGGGGTTGGAAGTCCCGAACATCTGTATTCGATCAAGACAATAAATGGAATGACTTGGTTATATCTATAAAAAATGACACTTCAACCCTCGAGAAAAGGTTATAGACTTAGGTTAGTTTAGAGCGCTGCTGCTAGATACAAAAAGTAAAAAAACAATGTGTGCCTACGAGAATCGAACTCGATTTGAAAATGCGTTTTTTGTACGTATTTAATACAAAAGTAACATGTTGCGAAATTCCGAAAAACGCCTTGTCAAACGAATACAGAAAGAAAAACGCGTTTAAACGACATTTAACGCGTTTTTTTGCGCGTTTTTTTTTTAATAAACAACATCTCAAACAATAATTTTGCACCCACAGTGGTGGTAGTTGTTAATAGTTACTGTAGGCGTCACTTTTTTTTCGGCCGCCTTTACGTCAAATAAATAAATAGAAAAACGAGTAAAAGTTATGTTACATTTTTTGCACATGTCTCTCTATTTATTTCTTCGCCAAATCAAATTTGATGATTGGTTGATATTATTATATGAGCAGTTGGCCGGTGACACCATCTATCGAATACCGAGTTCTAGTCTTGAAATAACAAAAAATCGTTAGAGTGAAAGTTCTTGAATGAACAGCCTATAATCCTAAATTTGACGTTAAAATACTGCAAAAAGATCCATCTTTCAATTAACTCCTTCAGAGAAAATAACTTTTTTGTCCTTCTCAGAACTACATAGGGGAAAAAACAGTAAATATCGCCCAAAAGTGTGAAATTTCTTGTTATGTTAGAGGTGAGCTTCCAGCCTTAATCAAGCTCCATGAATCTTTCGTACAATCTGGGACTCTCACTGAATTAGTAAACTGATGGTCGTCACAATAGATTTTCAATAATGCTAAAGCCAAAGCTTTTAGAATTGAACTTTAGAAATTTGGATGTTGCTGCTAGCGGAAAAGTAATTTATTCCTTGGGGGTTTTGGGATGTTTGAGATTTTTGGGGCGGATAGCGTGAGAGTGAGCCATCAGATATCGTTTCCGTTTAGAGTGCCGAATAGTTCTCATAGTTGTGAATAGTTCTCATATTTCTCATGGTTCTCAATAACTAGTTCGGAATAGTTTTCAAAGTGTTGGCCTGTGCTTGAAATTTCTCTAAGTCTGCATAGTTCTATGTTGTAGTCGCTGAACTGACATCTCCCAAAACTCCAAACTAGATAATATATTAATTATCTATGTGTCGCTAATCTATGAAAGATTCAAAGTTTTGGTATTGCAGCAAGCGTAAATTCTCCATAATATCTCCTGAACACTAACAGACAGCGCCTTCAAACTTATAACAGAAGCAGTCTTCGAAAGTTCCATCTAGATTCAATTTATGGTTACCGAGATAGCTGTCTGATTGTGCGAGGATGGAGGCTTAAGATTAATATCTGAACTATTTTCGTATGTAGAGCATTCAGTTTGTATTTGAAGTACTGAACAGCAGATATAGTTCTTTTGATGCTCAACTTCCAGAACTGGAATTGTTACAAACACATTTGACAAATTCAATTTTTTAGGAAAAAGCTCTGTTGGCAATATGATAGTGAGCGAAAAGCAATTCAATATGTGTTTCATCACACTCTGCCAGTGTTACTAATCAATGTAAAATTAGTTTTAGAAATTTTCAAGATAAAAATTTAATTGTTATTGATACACCAGAATTTTTAAATAATGAAGAAGATATTGGTCGATCCATTCAAATAACTGTATCGGGTGATAGTTCATATGCACTTGTATTAGTAATTGATTTATATCGTGCTTTTTCACATGACGAAGAAAAGGTTATAGACTTAATAACAGAGATGTATGATAGTAAAATATTTAAGTGTTTTATTCTGGTTTTTACTGGTCTGGATAAATTTAATACGGAAGATGTTGATATTGAAGAACATATTGAAAAACAAAAAGAAAACGTAATAATGAAAGCATTAACTGAACAATGTGGACATCGCTACTTGGTTGCTAACTACAATGCTGGTTCCGATGAAAAAGATTTATTTGTTAAGAATCTAGTTGATATAATGTCCAAAATGTTAGCTCTAACAAACATAGTCATGGCAAACAAATATTCAGATACGATGATTAAGAAAAAGTACTTTCAAAACTACAAAAGAAATAGTTAAATAGGAACTTACAATACGATCAGTGTTAAAGAATAATCACCAAAGTCGATCATAAAAACGATATTTTATGTAAATAATTTTCAAAGATCTTGAAAAAGTCACATGTAATAGTGTAAATGAATACACATTTTTCGCACCCTCAGTTATAGTACATCGTCTTTCAAATGTTCACGTTCTGCAGATTGGCCATGTTTTCTTGCCTAACGGGGGAAGTACACCAACTATTAATTTCAGTTTTGAACGGGATATAGCCTAGTGTGTAGTGTTCGCTGTGCTGAGTAAGAACATGACCATCTTTTTTCTCCATACGGCTTTGTTCAGAAGTTATAAGGATTTTAAGATATAACCAAGTCATTCTATTTATTGTCTTGATCGAATGCAGATGTTCGGGACTTCCAAGCTCTCGTCGCACCCTCGGAGGGGCGAGGGCTCCGAAGTCCCGAAAATCTCCGTGCGACGGCTCGAAATTTTTCTGGTGGACTCGCTACCTAATCGAAATCGATACCCCTCAAAAGCTTATACCGAGGGTTGAAGTGTCATTTTTCGAGGGTTCGAGCCCTCGGAGAGGACCTATTTTCGAGTACGCACCCGTCGCACGACTTTTATCATCTGCATGGGAATGTTCTTTTTATAGGAGATGGTCTTCATGCTGAATATTTTTTGTTTTAGTTGGCATAAAAAGTAGAAAAAAATGATTATTCCCTAATTAATTTTATTTTACTTCGTGAAACTGACAAACTGTCGGCTTAAATCATGTTGGGTACTACCTTTCATATCACCGGAACAAAAAAAATAAAGTTGGTTTAGAGTTGTTGAAAAGTGATTTTTCGTATTCAGCCCACTCGATAACCCAGAAGATTTTCTATTTTTGACTCGGGGTACTTCCGAAAGTTTAAGA